TAAAAATTAAAATTACTTACGATTTATAAATTTTCGTTTTGGAATATTGATTTGAAGCATTCCTTTAATCATATTATTTCAATTAACCACAAAGGTTGTTGATATAGCGGGAGTTCTTAGAAGTACTTGTAATTTTGAAGTACGATCATTTAAAAAAATATAAGCACCTTCTTATTTTATTTTTAATTTCATCTATTTCACATCGTTCACAACGAATACCTTCAAACTTTCGAAATACATATACAATCTTAATCATATATGTTATATGTCATTTTCCCACGAAACATTTTTCCGAATGTGATCCGATTAATTCCGGAAAGAAGCTCTCGTAAAAATGTTTGGTGGGAGATATTATGTGTGTTCTTGAACAATATAAATAACATAGGGTACTCACACAACCATAGTCACTAAAGTTGAAAAAAAAAGTATTTACTTCGCACAGATAGATTTCGCCCAGCTCTCTTTTTCCTTCATTGTAGAATTCGTTTTTTCGGTAAGGACAATAGTAAAATCTTTTTTGTAATTTTGTTTTATCTTTTTGATCCAAAATTACTGGAATTTGATTAAATAATGTATAAATTAGATTAAAATTGGTGTCACGATTTGCTTGTTAGGATTTCATATTTAATTTTATCAGTAAATATAAAAACGGTTGTTTTCAATAGTTGTGAAGGAAACCCACATCCTTAGCGAAAAAATGTTCAAAATTAGACCATGGAGTTTTCATCATATACGACGGATCCTCTGAAATTCATTAACCAATTACATCAATTTTGTTAGTACTTTATACAAACAATTTCTGATTTATGTGAAATTTTGTAAATGTGATGTAACTGTTTCAAAACGAATGACACGTAAGAAAATGTGACTTAACTATGATAGAAACTGCGTGGAATAAAAAAATTGCCAGTAACCGTCATCAACTACGAAATTGATAATTTTCCTTTCCAACAAACTTTATTTCATTTGTGAAAGAACTGTAAAAAAAATTGTGCAATACATACAGTTGTGTTAGTTACGTGACTGATCTAAGAAATAAAATAAATAGATAAAATGGCTAATTCGCCACCTACATCTTCATCGACGATAACTCCTTCGCGACGATATCGTTATTCACGTAGCTCAACAGCTAGTGTAACACAGTTACTTTCTGACGGTTGCAATAGTTTATTGCAGCGTTTTCGCCGAAATCCAAGCGAACGTCCAGAAAAAAAGAGGAATGTTTTACCAAACACAAGGTAAAAATAACAACAGTACATGTTAAATAATAATAAATTATTTGAACTTTTACATTTCAATTTATCTTGTGATTGCAAATCTGGTGATATGATCGAATATTTAAAAAAAAGAAATATATGTAAAAACTATATTATTTACATATATAAACAATTATGCAATAAAAAATTGAAACTTTTTTAATACAAAGAATAGTTATGTGAAAGTCAATCTAATTAAAATATAATTTGTGCATAAAATAGGCAAAAAAAACATATAAAATTGAATCTATTTTATTTTTGAATGAATTTAAATATAAATAATTTAAATGTTATCTGTTTATTTTTTCTCTGTGCATGTTGGATATTATAGATATTTTTTTAAATTTCTGTTCTATGTATAATATTTTTCTTGATTTCTCAGTTCCACAAAAAAGTCACTTCAACCTACGTATTTTTTGTGATATTTCTATAATATCTATTTTGAGGCCATTAGTTACCGCTTTTATTGTTTTTTTAATATTTCATAGAGTTTTTCAAAAACAGATAACGACTTTATCTCTGATTTTGATACAAGGTATTAGTAAAAATGAAAGTAGTAAATTATATCATATTCTATCAATATTTTATTGTTAAAAGTATTTTGAAGCTCTTTTCTCTTCTATTTGGCTTGACATCAATTCATTTGCAAAAATTTACATTTTTTTCTAATCTGCTCTCAAACTCCCGTATTTTTTTATTTTCAAATGAAGAATATATCCATACTGTTAAGTTTTTGGTTATTATTCGATCGTATTCGCCAGTATTTCATGATTACTGTAATGATTTTCATGACTACTATCAAATAATCATTTTAGATCCAAAGAATCAAGTCCTAAAGAAAATCCAAATATGTCGAGTAAACACACATTAAATGATCGGCTTAAAAACCAAGTAAATGATTTGACCTCAGCTACTGGAAGTGCTTTAGCTACATCAGCTTTGGATCGACTTCGATATAATTTAAGTCCTGTTACGTCATATTACAAACCTCTGATAAAAACATTCACCAGACGAGATGATTCACCTAGCAAAGTTAGTAGTAAACATTTAAAAAAATCTGCTGAAACAAAGAACAAATAATCTAAATCATGATTGTATTGGAAAATATATTTCTGATTAATTTTATCATTCTCTTGATCTCATTTCAATTATAATTGTACCGGTGTACATTTTATAGAAAAGAGATGATGGTGATAAAACCCCAGTAGCTGATGAAAAAATATCAACTATATCAAGAATCGAGTCCAAATATTCGGAAGTGTTAGGCCGACGAAGGCATAAAGAGCTGAGTGAAAAAGAAGATCGTGATAAAACGCTAGAACCTGATAAAATCAGTTTTACACCCTTATCTCGAAGTGCAACAACAATTTTGTCATCTGGTGCTGTTGCAAAAAAGGAATCAACACCATATCGTTTGCTTCGAAACTACTCGGATCGAAAGCCAACACTTACTGGCCTTTCAATGAGTAACTATGGTCCAAGGAGTGATTTCAATATATCACAGCAAAAGGCTCCATTTTCTGTCACAAAATCAAATTATTTAGAGTCTCCACCCATGAGACATAAAGATTCAGTATATGATCTCAATGGCAAACGAGTTTCAACTTCCAGTCGATATAATAATTATGATAATTTGAGCTTAAATACAAAGACTGGCTTTTTTGAAGGTCGAGATAAAGAAAATATTTTTAAATCAAAATATGAGCCTAGTCGATTATACGCTGAACTAAATAATAATGAAATATTTAGCCGAGATCGAAATATTCCACGATACCATAAAGAATATCGACGTACAGCCACAACAAACAACTACACTGATAAATTCTTAGATACTCCATCAACTTCAAGTGGCTATCGAGACCTTCATATCAGCTCAAGAGGTTATAATCCAGAGCAAAATTTAGACTATCAACGATCGAATACGCAAAAGTTTTTTGATTTGGAGTCAAAATCGTCAATACGTAATTTGAACGATGACGAAACAGTCAAAAGCGAAGCTGTCAAAGAACGTGAAGCAAGGCGAAAAGAAATACAAGGTTTAATTGCAAAATATGCACAAATAGATGACGTCTTCTTACGAGCCATAGATAATAATATCGCACCTAGTGACACAATCAGAACCCGCAATAGTATCAATAATAGCAGATTGAATAGTATGCGTACAAATGATGGTACAACGTCTGATTTATTAAATTATAGTAATGTGGCAGATAAAGGTGTGAGCCAATATCCACATATGCAAGACAAACAAACGACATTTATGCCACTATCAAAAACACAAAGTGTATCCTCAATGTCTTCTACCAACCGATCACGCATTCCAAAAACTTTGTCAACATTTGTAAGAAAAAGAAAAAGTATTCAAGGATCAAACTACTAATATTTATTCACATTTTTTACATATGCTTAACATTTCAACATAGACTTCTTTTTTATTTTATCTACTTTTTTTGGTTAACTAACCAATTAATTTATTAATGAAGAATATACCTGAAACCAAATATTCAATAGAGTCATAATTTACTAGAATAAAAACATTCAATTTATTTATAAAAATATTCATGTCTATAAGAATTCAAAAGTAAAAATATTAGATTAAGAACAAAAAATTACATATTAAAGATATCCATTGCATAAAAGATTTTTTTTTTTGGAAAACTATAAACATGGATGACTCATTGAAGAATGTCAAAATGTATATTTGTAAAAACATTAAAATTGTGCGAAAATGTATTAACACTCTGCTTCTTTTTTCAACATGCAATGTATTTCAATGAACTAAAACTGAAATCTTATCATCCGATCAATTTATTTTAACATATTAATTAGTGTTACTAAGATAAAAATGAATGCAGAAACTTATTAACACTTTCAAAGTGGAAGCAATAAAACCCAATCTTACCATTGCATAATTGATGATTTTTTCCCCTTTTGTTGTCGACATGTAAGTCTAAAGAGTTGAAGTAATAAGTTTACTTACCCTGTTTGCTTTATTTAAAATCTGTTTTATATAAAACACAAAGAAAATATTTTTGTGCAAATGAAAGCAATCGTTTGAATATTCATGAATATTATTGAACATGTGTTGCAACAGAAAAGGGTGAGGCAAATAGTACAAAATGTTATGCGGTTTGACTCGACCCGTTCTGTTGTAAATCTTTTGTCATTGTCCTGTACATGAGTTTTTTACAGAACACAGCACGACTGCGTTAATTTGATTTCCGTTCCTTTGGCTTATTTTTTGAATCATTTTTATATGGGACTGTACTAAGAAAAATTACATCTTCAAATATTGTTTTAAAATAATACAAACGATTTTTTCAATTGCATTTATAATTTGTTTCAAGTACATATTATCTTATCGAAAAACGAAATCGTATTTTTCTCGTGTCTACGATTATTATGTATGACGATGATTGCTTGCTGTTTCCTCTGCCAAAACTACACGATATTGTTCTACGACCGACATCCAATATGAATATCGAAAAACTAAATCATTCAATTTCACCTTATAATAAACAAAAAATCTTATACTCAACGCCCACCTATCTAAATGATCTATTATTGGTTCAATTGCAACAACAATGTTACAATGACTATTAAATTACTCGGAATGATTGTGGGATTTGTTGATATGGACTAAATATCGGATTTACGAAATATGGACGTCACTGTATGCTGCATAATTGAATATTAAATACGATACGTGGATGACGATGATGACCTTTTTTGATGTATGACTAGGCATTGAAAGCACCAGCTATACAAGATGATGCTGATGGCCATTTGATTTATCGTACTGGCGATATTCTACATAACAGATGTTCGTTATAATTTTGTGACTTTTTTTTACAGATTTTATCATTAAGCAAAGTTTACAAATCTTTATTTCGTGGAAGCTTTAATATGAAACTGATTGAATTTTTTTGAAATTACAATACATAGAAACTATTAAAAAAGCACGAAATTCAGTTTTGTTATATTTGCTCTACAGAAAATTACATTGTAAAGATGTTTGTGAACCACTATGCAATTTCTAATATTTTAAATTCAGACTTTCTTTGATATTTCAAATTATTTTAAATTTTCATTTAATAACCCGAAGATTTTTTTATTCGAATGGAAAAACTTGCATCACAAACATTTTTAACATCGATTGAGATAAGTGTATCTTTAGAAAATTGATTAACATTTTTTTTTAAAAGCAATTTTTTTTTATAACCGAAGTTTCAAACATACTTTTTCATTACAGATAAAATCATGGCAACACTGGGTGAAGGAACGTTTGGTAGAGTTGTAAAAGTCAAAGATATGCAAATGTACGTATATAATAAGAGTGTGTGAAAATTGAAACAAATTGAAGCAATGGTAATCAAATTAAACCAATCGCTTCATTATTTTTTATAAAAAAGAAGGAAAAAAGTTTACCTGAGTCCATAGCTGGGCAGACTGAAAAATTCAGGGGGGATTGGGGGGAATTTTCTAAAAAACTCCTAGCAAAATAGGAAAATTTCATCTATGATCCAAAAACCCTAGCAAAATGAGAAAAATTCTATCCAAAATCATGAATTTTGTAAGGAGTTACGCAAAAATTTGATGATTTTGTAAAGGGGTAAGTCAAAAAATATATGCCTCAGGGGGGTAATACCCCCTCCCCCTGTCTACCCAGCTATGCCTGAGTCGGTTTCAGAAGTAATTCTAAAAACAGCTTACTAGTGATGGTATCTAGCCATAGATCCTGTCAATCAGCCATAGAGTAGTGGTTAGCATGCCAGATTTGAGAGCGAGAGGACACGAGTTCGATTCTCGGTCAAATTTGTACCGGTATTTTTCCACCGTGATTCGCTCAAGTATCGTCAATGGTTTAATGCGGAATAGATTTGGCAGCGTTTCGGCCTAGTGGAGTGCTTCGGAAGGCACTTAAAACCCTGCACAACGTGCTGTTTGAACCTTTTGACCGTTTCCTCTTTGCCAAAAAAATATCACTGGTTAAGGTTCAGCTCAGCTTAGGCAACTTTACGAAAAGTCAGGAGAACTTTTACACTTGTTTTATAGTAGTTGTATTTGATTGTTGAATTGCCGTTTATTTTTTTCAATTAAAAATTCCCATACTTTTGCTCGGACACTCTTCATTAAGAAGATTACATATTTTCAGAGATTATTGATTCGAAAGTTCATAGACAAAATTGAAACTTAATTTTTTTTGTAATTCATTGTTTTTATATAGGGACTACTCGATGGCATTAAAAATTATCAAAAACGTGGAAAAATACAGAGAAGCGGCCAAACTAGAGATAAATGCCTTGGAGAAAATTGCCCAACGTGATCCAAATTGTGAACAGTAAGATTATTTAATTTCAATATGAACTACATTCATATTCATTCGGGTTTCAATATTTTCTTGAGTTAATTGACAATTATTCGAATACCTTTTTTATCGATTAATTGAAATTCTAGAATTGATGGTTGATTGGTGTTTAGCATTCTTTATTTATTACTCTGTAATATATTAGAATGATTAAATATTGATTAATATTGACAAATTTTGTTTGAAAAATAATCCTTTTTTTTAAACGAGTAGATATTTTTTGATAAGACTTCACTATAGTGGATCAATTTGTAATGCAAATTCACCCATTACCAGGCACAAATTCACGGTCAAATTTGGTACGCAAAAAATACACTAGTACGCAAAACATACGACAAAGTCCTGTATATAGATGTCCTATTAACATCGAAATATTAACATATCTTATTACTA